CACTTCCATCTTCTTCCGTGACTTACCAAACGAAGACGAAGAACATTCAGTGGTTTGTTAGTTTTTTAGTAGATCCTTTATCTGATCATGAGCTATTCAGGCGAATATTTAGCATTCTCATCTCGTACTAATAATAAATAGAATTGGATGCCAGTATACCTACATGAATAGCGTTCCCATTGTAGACGATGGGATAATTTTGTAGCGAATCTGGTTAGAATTATTGAATACTAAAAAGTAAGGAAACATATTATGCATTTAATTGTAAAATTACAGTTTAAATGCGGCAATTACACGGGTTTAATGAATGTATTCGAAGAGAAAAACAAAGCCATAAATTCGCGTTCGACGGTTTCGGTCATATTTATGAGCAACTGACACATGATCAAGAATTGATAATGCTAGCTGACCCATTGGTTCGAACAATACAAAAGGTTTTGTATTTTATTTATTCATCCAATAAATATTCAAAAACGGCTTTTCAGATATTAAAAGATGTATTGTTGCTCCATGAGAATTCTCAAATTTGATTATTTTATTTGTACACTCATGGTGTATTAAAAACATCCCCTAAGCTCATGAAATTGCAATTTTTATTATGTCTACAATCATTTCTATGAATAAGAAGTCATTTTTAATCGTACGATTCTGTGACTAATTTTCATGCGATTTTTTTAATTTGTGAATTTCCATTGAGTCCCCAAAAATTACCATGCCGCGACCATAAGGAAACCGAAACGGCAAGTCATGGACAATTCTTCGATGGATAAAAATAACTTGCACAGTAGATACACCATAAAAGGTCATAAGTAATAACATGCATGATTATGAATACCTACGGTTTCCGTTTACCATACGTTCTAAGTTATTAATAAAATTTAATTAAACGTCAATAATTAGGTTCAATTATTTTTCTATAATTGTTTTGTCGCTATAAATGTGGTTTTTTCTAGTTTAAATGCCATAAAATAATCGTAAATTAATTAGTTATTCTTTAAATTAGTGTGTAGTTCAGTATGTACATGTTAAAATAGCAATACTATACAAAGAACACAAAGAAATGGTAGAATTTGCTTCTTATCATTATCAATGATATTAATTTTCATAAATGCTTTGTATTTTAAACTGCATTGACAATGACAATAACAATAAAAACATGACCTTCATTGGGGTACAAAAAATTTGAAATTATAAGCTAAAAGCAATTAATTTACGAAACACAAAGTTAAATAATAGAATTAATTTTTGTGTATAATTATACCAGAGTTTTATGTGTTAATTTCTGATTATATTTTGGTACGCATTTGAAAATATAAACTTAAATTATAAATATGCAATATTTTTCAGATAAGATACCCTCATTACCTAAGTACGTATTAATTGGAGATGTAGCCTTCCTTTCATGATTAACTGCCACACTGATAAATCTTTGATAAGTTAGTAAGATGCATTTAACATCTATAACATATCTACTTAATTCATTATTGTATTTACTATAAAAATAATTTTGCATAATACTCACCATTACGACAATTAAAAAGTAAAAACGTTAATCGTCTAGAAATGAAGGTCGTAAACCAATAAAATATTCAAAATAAGATCATGAAGAAAATGTGGCTCGTGTTTGAAAAATGCCGAGATTTGTTTTGCTTCTTGTTTGTGGGAAAAGATCACAATCTCCATAAAATGCGATTGAAAATAAAACTTATGCATGTAAACCAGATGTAATTATCTAGCAACTGCAAGTTTCTTTAATAGACAGTATAACATTTATTGAATTAATATATTTTTTGTGATTTGGGCGTTTGAAAGTAGCCTGGGTCTTCTGGAACCCCGCCGCTCTAAATATGTTAAAACTATGGATAAAAAGAAAATGCACGTGTTCAGAGCAACCGTCGCATGCCGAACCATATTTGACGTTTGATAGCCGTCTGAAAGCCACATTTACTAATTTGGATTCGAACCAAATTTGATACACATTCCTCGTTCGGTAGAAAATGAGAACAATAAAAGGGCTAAGAACACGACGGACCGCCGGCTATAAAAGGGATGACGGTTTGAATCCGATCGCGGGTTTTTAGATTTCTTCCAACGTTTCGCATCAATTTTAGCAAACTTTATTGTCAGCTACAATCGAAGATTTTCAGCACTCCTTCGCTGAATTCAAAAAACAATCAAGCATTTCTACTTCTAATTACTTTATAAATTGAAAGTATTATGAATAATTTTAGAGTATTTAGATGGCTGGATAGTATTAACAATAACTATTTAGCAACAATGAAATTCTACATATCAGCTGAAGTTCTACGTCACTGCAACTGATATAAGGAATTATTTCCAATCCGGTGCAGTCAAAGCAGCGCGTGGATGGGTAGGTAGGTATCTAGTTGATAAAGCAAAAACTGGTAGAAGATAATGTCCCTTAAAATTTATAAATAATTCATCGTGGTCTCATCGAAGAAGTCCGAATCTGGTAAACGCATTGTATATGGCCACGTGCGTTTTCGATTTTTTTTTATTTTAAATCAATTCGAGCGTGCCTTCGCGCCCTTATAAGGAAGAAATACTACGTTTGGAATTCGTTTGGTATTTTATAGTATCTGTTTTTTTTATTTGGTTTTTGTAACGCCAATTTATTCTGTGAATTTTGGTCACTATTTTGGTTAATTTCCGATTTTAATACAATAAGTCATCTACAGAATGTTGCTGGATCTCATTTAGTGCATTCGGAGAATATACCTTCATCTAAGTAGCTTTAAAATTATGAATAAATTACTGATATCCGCTTCCTGATTAATGTCATTCGTGAAAACCCACTAATAGGATTTGTATTAGAGATTAGTAGCGGTAAATTTATAACCTACATTTTATTGAATCATAATATTTCAACACTCCTGCTTGGTAAAATTTCATCACTTCAAATCTTCCTGTAGCCTGCTAACTTAGAAAATCATCTGTTATTATTTAAGAATCAAGTAAAGAAAATCCGACCTTTCTCAAATTACTATCCTTCATCTATCTGTAATAAATCTAGTCATCAAAAGTCGCTTAAGGTCACCTACCTGAATACCAATATTAAATCAGCTGATGGCACTTCATCTGTCCAATTGGAACGCAATTAAAAGAGTTTAAGACGACATTAGCAGTTCCGAAGAAATCGTTGACATCAGACAGATATTATTTGAACAAATTGTTGACTTTACGCCAATTTTCTGTAAGGCGGGTACTGATAATTAGAAGCCATAGTTTTTAAACGAAGTAACCGGATTCGTCCAGCAGCCGATAGATACAATGTAGAAGTTAATAGGTTCTACCATTATAGGATAGCTGGTGGAGTTTTTGTTCGACGGCGATTAACCGCAATTTCGTAAAACGGCTCAACACTCTTAAGAGTGAAAGTATTTCGTGATAATTTGACGTTTTTATTATACGTATTATAAGTGGCCGTAGTACTTTGGAATTCTTGTTTTTTGGAATTATGCATTCCTAGATAAGATGTCGCTTTTTTATATAGCTACTGTATGCTAATATCTCTTCGATTTGCATCTTCATTTGCATGGTTTATACAGCATTTCGCATCTTACTTTTTAAACATAGTAAATATTATAATGAGTAAATGTTCACAAATAATTAGATAGATAGTGCAATTGATATGTTGATTTAAAAATCAATAACAATTCAACCAAATCCTTTATCTCCTCGCGGAACCTTGGTAAATGAAACAACGCAATAATATAAAAAAATATTTAATTAAAAAACTTCAAGAGTAGTAAATAAGCACGGAATGGAGACATATACATTCGGACACTATTGTCTTTATATACAACAATATAAAGAGAAACATACATTATAATCGGATGTAGTCCTCGAGGAACTTAACCTACATATAATTTAATAAAAAAACAAACTTAAAAGTAACTACAAAAAAACAACAAACATCAGTCTTCGAATATCCAGAATTAATTGGGTGGACAAAAAAGATTCAAACGGTAACTTGTGCGGCAGTGAGATGTTAATCTGTTATTTTTTTTCTTCGGATGGATCAGATCTGAAAACAAAATTTCAATTACAGATTGATTCATAAAAAAAGCGATTGTAACCTTAGTCGTCTATTTTATAACCTCGCTAATTGCAACGTTTGATTCGACCTTGTTTTCGAGGAATTTCGTTGCAAGGTCAACGGTACCAGAAAACAGATGCAACCAATTTAATTTTATTAATATTCCTATACATTTTATACGCAAAATGATTCCTGATTTAACTGATAACTTATCGATTTATTACGGTACTCTTTTTAAGTCTTGTTAAAAACTCCTCGATCCAAAATTTTTGCAAAGGACTAATCAAATTGAAACCAGCTTGTATGCTGTAAAACTGTGGTAGAAGTCATTGATCAAAATCCAACAGAACGTCCTCCAGTTCTCGACCTTGCAACGCGGAAACCGGGCGCTAAATTAGCCGATAAAAATAGTCAAGACGTAAACAAATCCATCTTGGCTTACAAATCACAAATTTCGAGCTCATCTCTGCTTCACCCACGACTCGAAAGCGATTTTCTCAAAATATCGTACACAAAAAACTGGACTAGCTGAGCAGGTTTCAGGTCAGTACACTTCAAATTACAGATCAACAAACTTTACTAGATAAATAAATAAAAGTGATATGCGCGTCGCAGGATTTCGTCAAGGTCGTTGCACCCGCTTATTAGGGTCCCATTTTGATGATTCTCTACTAATCCGTAAATCCCAAATTGTTACATAATAGATTTTTTAGCCCAAATTGGATTGGAAATTTCTCCTAAAGTCCCCTGGTGTCCATTATTATCAAGAGGAGTGCATCAAGAGAATGTTTCTAAAGGTTGATACTGGTTAATTAATTTAATGATATGAGGAATATGAATTAAAAAAGTCGTAAATAATTTGGCGCTCCAACGAAAACAAGCAAGTGCTGGGAACCTCCCGATCGGAGCTCATCATTTCCAAGTGTCAATGATCTTCGGGTCAATCAGCTGAGCTCATTTTCGGCGACCACGTGACGGGCATGGGCGATTCCTCGAGAATGATGCACGGCGAATTAGAATGGCCGCAGGTAGAACGCGAATTTTCAGTAGCATCAGGAAGTTCGGCGACGAAATAAATAAAAAATTCGCCGAGCTTTCGAGGCGTGTGCGTGCGAGTGTGTTGTATTTGCATTTCTCGGCTGTGAGACTTGAGGTTGCATACGCTGCGAGTTATGAAATTGCGGGGGTTTATGAGGTGGGCGCGCGACTTACAAAACTTTCGGTCAATAACCGATGGCAGCTGATATGCGGAAGTTTGAGTTGATGGTCGGGATCTCTCTTTGACATTTTCGGGCGTTACACAAACGCCCCGATCATCGATTATACAGCGCTTCTAAAGAACATTTTTATTTCTTTTATTAGGCGATTTAGAAGATGATACCTACAGGAGATTGTGAGGATTGAAAAATGAGCAAGTGAAACAGATGAGATAAGAATAAACGTTGATCTCTGATACACATATCCAGATAACAGATATAAATAAAAAAAAATCATTGATATTTTTTCAATTATTTCGTTGAATAATATCGCAATAAATTTTATTGTTGCGTACTTTTTTATTTTGATTTTTATCATTTGAATTAGTGATTAAAATTTTTGAATGAAAATGAACGCATTAGCAAAAACTCTTATTTGAGCTTGGAGCAGGTGCATCAGCTAATAATCCAAGAAAATCAATCGAAAGGGAGATTCGAAAAAAGTTTTTCGTCACAAAAAAAATTAAAATTAATTTAAAATGGTAGGTCATGGTAGGTGAGAAACCTTCACACAAGTAAACATTTACTATCGGTGTCATTTCACATTCTATCATATGAGATGAGAGAGTTCTTTTATATGATAAATTTACTAATTAAAAGCTCTTAAGTATCTTAGGAAAATTAATTGTATTGTAATTTGACTATTTGTATTCAAAAAAGTAGGAAATAATTTTGTACCCATAATTTGTTTCTAATTTGTTATCAATCAATAAAAAATATCTGGATATTAAAAATCCATTAAAGAATTTAAATATAAACATTTTTTATTCTTCGTAAATATGTATGTTAAACCAGGCAAATAGGATATTTTATTAACCAAATTAAATATATTTATGTGAAAATTAATTTTTTTGTAAATTATTGCAGTACTTACCATAGTCTTTTACGTCGGCAGCTCGTCGTTTTTCGGCCACCATTGCTCCCGTGGGGCCACATTGTTGAATTTAGTATAATCCAGTGGGGTCGAGACCCTTACCTCCTACTTTCGTCATTTTCGAGTCCCTTGTTTTTTTACTGATCGAATGAACTGTCACACACTAGTACTGTCCGGTCGGGTCCAATTTACCTCCGTCCATCATTGCAAATTTACTCGTACAAAAAAATATTAAATACTATAAGGCGATACGATCCCAAAGCACAGACTGATATCAGTAGAGCCCTGTAGGGTCGAGACCTCCAAACATAGTTGCTCAGAGTCGGCTCGGATGTGGCGGTTTCGCACTCTACGGGCGCGTCTCTAGATAGTAAGTACGTGAAAGCGAGCGTTGCGTGGAGTGAGCAGTCGGGAAGTCGGCGCTCGCTTAAATGGTCGGTGGTACGGCGTCGGAGTGGGGGCGTCGGGCGTCGCGACGTCGCCGCTCCAGCCCTGACCCACTCACGTCGAACGAGCCTTGCCACTGAACTTTTTCGCGGATGCCCCGGCGAACTGGTTGGTCGCTCGTCGGGCCCGGTAACTGGAGCATGTAGGAAGTTGGATATACTTTTTTTTTCTAATCCATTATTTATCTTAATTCATATTATAATAGATTTGTAAAAATTATATTTTTAATGAATTTCATTACGTTTTGATAGGCTAATTTTTGCTAATAATATAGGAGACAATAGTGCAATTAATAATTAAACAAAAATAAACAAATTGTCTAAATGAACGTGTAATTCAAATCCGCAGTCCTTGGAAGAAAAAAATCATACGTGATCAGTAATAGCTTATTTTAGATGAAGCAACGGCGTGGTCAATAGTTAGAAACCTTGTATTTATTTATAAGCCGGTTGTGCATAATAATTAAAATATTAAATAACAACAGCCGATGTTTAAAATTTTTCCAAATTTACATTCGTGATAAAAATTAACATTTCCAGCTCATTCAGTCTGGAAAATACCAAACGATTGTTGGTTAATAAATAATCTCACATTTTCGCTAATTTATTTATCATCAGTTTTATTGCATCGCTTTCGAAATACACTTTTTCTTCAAGAACATCGCCGTGAATGATATACCTACACATGCAGGATTTAACGATGCATTTATGGTTTAAGTTTATTTATTTTCTAATACAAAACTATAAAATTTACCTCGCACAACATCGGCTCCTCTGAGAGATTATAAAGAAACCGTCTATGGAGAGATTCTTAGTAGATATAATGGCGTTTTAGTGATGAATTTAATAAAATCTTCATATTACAATGTTTATGATGCCTTTAAAGCTCGATAAGAAGATTCAATTCAATCGTAAATATGTTGCAACATCTCTCACGGTATGGAAGAAAATTTTTAGAGAGAGATTATGCAAATAAATCATACCTAAATGTTAACAAAAACCGACAATATCTGACAAATAATAACAAAATAAAACAGCAATCACCTGGCATTCAGGCTGCGAAGGCAGTACTTTTTGTGGTACCAGCCACGAGCCAAGGGTTTAAATGCCGCATAACAAATGGTTTTATAAGGACTTCCGAATATGATGCTCTCGGACGGCGCGGTCAATGGGGATTATGATGGATATGAAGTGAAGGGCTTGCGTTAATTGGTCCAACGATCGGTCCCCGGCTCTTACAAGGTGTGTGTCCGGCCATTGAGCGAGACCGTGCCTTTGGTGGGCCCTTTGATGACGGATTAGTGAACTTAGATGCGTTTGTGGCCTGACCGGTGGTCATTCAGAAGATTAAAGCATCTGGAAGATGTGATGTGCATTTTGGAAGTGACGCTTCGATGGCCGGGCGAAGCAAATTGCCCGATTGTTCTCTTTTCAATACGTTCTTAACTAAATGTGGGTTATTCTTCCTTTACATTTCACCAACACAAAAAAATTTATTCGACGAGGAAGTCGAATTCGGATCCGTACGATTTACACGAGCAAATAAAAAAATATACAGTTAGCAATTTAAGTACTTCTTATCTATTTTTAACTGTATATTGACCCAGAAAAGAGGCCGAACACTTGAGCATCATATATATACTTATAAAAATAACTGTAAATTACGTTTAGCATGGCCAATGTGCCAATTTTAAATTACTTTTCGAGAGAAGTCCAGTTAACATGTGGTCAAAAAAAATTAAACGAAATTTACAAGCTATTGTTTATTGTATAAATAAGCCAAAAACCTCAAATAGGTATACAAATACTTTTATGGTATATTTAATAAATATTCGAAGATTAATTAAAAAAAAATTACATTAAATACAAAAATTGTCCTTATTTTCGCCAAGATGGAACCGAAGTCCATCGGGTCCAACTGCATTCATCGAGCGAACTGGAACCGGCGCGGTTGCAATTTAATTCGATTTCGAATATAAAGTAGATTGTGCAACTTTCCCGGAAGAGAAATGCGACGTGAAAGCGGGGAAAACGCGGAGAAAGTTTCTTCCAGCGTAAAAACCGCGGCTTTAATACGAGGAAGCGGTTTGAATGGGACTCGATCGCAAAAAATCAACCACGCGATCCATATTCTAAACTAGGTACTATAACCGTATTCTAATCATGTGATAAAATATAATTGTGTTGTACAGTGTTTTAAACAATGGTAGAGTGGTAGGTAGATTTGAGCGTTGAATGTAATAATAAAAAAGTCGTGAAAGAAACGAAGTAAATTAATATTCCAATCGACGATCGAGCAACTTAATAACAAAGAATCTTCTGTTGATCCCGTCGTCATCATCATCAGAATCTCGTCGTTTAATTCTCCTCTCGTTGCGCCTCGGGGTCATCGACACCGGTTAGTCACCCTTACCCCAGTGAACCATCGGTCAGTCGCATACTGACCGAAGAAGTCGAAGATGCCGAAGAGACGACTCTAGGTCGCGCTTCCTCTCCCTTCGACCTCTTCTCAAGGAGGTGGCAGTTGACCTACATCCGCGCACCGGGAAGCGCCGCGGCGCTGCGGTCGACGAACCGGCGCCGCAGGAGCGACGACCCATCGCGTCCACTATAATATATTTCATTTTCTCACAATGGCTTTCTTAATTTCCCCACTAAATAATGTATGTTATAATTTTACTAATTGTTTACTGCCAATTGAGTAGGTAAAATGAGTCAGTTTGGTGGATTTAAAATTATAATAAGTTTATGCAAATGCTAGTACACTCGATGATAACGATTGCCAACAAACGTGGTCGAGTTATAGAGATTTTTTTTCTTATGTTATACGATGATAAAGGCGGTATAGTTTTGAGCTTAAAATTGTTTAAATACCAGCGAGTTTTGATGCGCGATGTAGATGAAGACCGACGCGTAAAATCTTCATCTTCCTTCTTTGCAAAAATCTCATCTGCGAGTCGGTTGGAGGCTGTGGAGGACGTTGACTCGACGTTCGAAGGAAGGAGGAAATCGTTATTGGAGCATATGGTAGATAAATTTTAGTTATTTGCTTTGTTCGTTTTTCATTACAATTATTAGATTGTTAATGAGCTAACGCCTTTCCCAAGAACCGACATTTTCTACTAATTGGTGGATTAAAAAAATCTCCCACTGTAAATTACGACGGGTCCTCCTGCGACTGGGCAATTTCGCCTGCAGACGCACCTTATACAAATCCGTGACAACCAATAGTGTTTTCTGTTTATTTATTTGAACGAGTTATTAACCATCCGATTGAATATTCATAACACCCAGATTCGATTTTGAGGAAGTGTTTCAAAACGCCAAGTAATAAACGGCTGAAATACGATCTCCGTGTGGCAACCGAGTGGGCCGGCCATTCAGATAGCATCGATAAATAAAAATTGAAATTAGCAGCTTTGGTAGTGGCGTTTTAATAGAAATCTAATAAACCTCTAGCCCAGGAATTTTCCAGCACATTGGACAATATTGGACAATTTTCCTAATTTCCTTTCAACAACCACTCGAAATCGAAACGATCGGAAAAACCCATCGAATAATTAATCGATCGAGTGGATGTCGAGCTGAGGCCGATCGAGCAGACGTCGTCGCCATCGCGCTCCTCGCGATCGTCCGAACTTCCTCCTGGACCTGTTGCAACCGGCATCGCTATCTCATCTCCGCGTTTGACCGAAAGAGATGTGAAACTAGAATGGCAGAGCGTTGACCTCGCGAAGTTAGTGGGTCAGGGCTCGATGCGGTCGATGAACTCGCGGTTTGCGGTCATTTACCATTCGCCAGTTCGAAAAGTTACTCGGAGACACAGGGTCGGTCGCAACGCGGGCCATTTCTGGATAATTATCCAACGCCAGGAAGTGCAATACCACTAATCCATACCATAGACCCAGCCAAAAGATATTCTCTTGAGCAGTAGATACCCATTTACTGGGTACTAATTGCAGCCATATTGATTGCTATTGATGATTTCGGTGTGTTAAATCGAAAAGACGGTCCTGATATGTGACTTTTCACCGACGATTTCTTTGAGGAAGACCTTTGGCGAGACCTCTGAGAGCACCCGGGCCAACTTTAATCAGACAAGAAAGGAATGCTCTCGCCAACAACATTAGTTCGCGAACCATCTCACGATGTTATACTCTGTTCTACACTGCTCTACATAAATCGATTCGTAAGAATATTGCGCTTTCCTTGCTTAATAGTAGATTGTAGCAAGTGGAATCGAAAATATAGAGTCAAAATGTAGCTTAACAATTTAAGGAATAAAACGGAAACATGAGCAAACATTGAGTATCAGGAAAATCACCGTTTGATACAGGAATTTAGCGAACTAGTGTAAGTATAGGTTAGATTTAATTGGAGATCTTAATCGACTACCGTTTCCTTATTTAAACGTAACTACTCATATGCTTACGTGCCATTAAAATTCTTGAACAAACCGAGAGTAATAATAATGCGGTAGTCTGTTAAATTTCAGTAATTAAGCGAGGGGTCGGGTCGACTTGTTCTTCTCAGAAATCAATTTTTAGCTTAATTTCAGCGACTCGCTTTCCCATCGGACGCAAAAAATCGGCGCTGACGCTTCGAAGATAAATGGAAGAAAGCTAAATTGCACTCGACGTATTTATAATGAGTCCATAAGAGCATACGTATGCGTGCATATAAGTAAGATGAATGGACAGAAAGTTTCGATGAAGATAATAAAACGATTGTGGAAGTAATTAAATTAAATTAGACACTAATCTTTTAAGGATTTTAACACGTACATGGGCATAGAGGAAATGTTTACCTATTTAGCTAGGTATTGTTAACTGTTAGGAGCAGTTATCACTCGTATTGTAATAGGTATTACGCTATTTACACGAATTTTGAAGTGAAATGGTTCCTCTTGGAATTGTAACACACATAAGTTACTAATGATAAAATGTTAGTGAATTACTAAGTAGGATGTTTTGAAAAATAATTTAGAAATTTAGCCATATTTACAAGTAAATTCCAGGAGAAAAATGTACGTACTTAACTTCGATTTTCGTGCAGGCAGACGAACAACAAAAGTTCCTTGGTAATCCCTTGTGGTCGTTTTAACAATAATTTCTGGGTAGTTTTGGTGGTCACCGACTAAAGAGTTTATTGATTGAATAATCGTTTCGATGGCTGGACAAAGCTCCATTCACAAAAGGCACATTGTAAATTCCGAGATTAAGGGTTAAGTCTCTTTTGATGATTGTTTAAGAATGAGATAAGAGAAATTTGGGAACTGGGGTTTTACACTGCATAATAAACTAGCAATTTGGGACGTGACGTGTTCTTGCAGGTTGCTGCATTCAATTACTTCGATGAAATTCGTCAGGTATTTCTTTTTTCGTTACAAAGAATACTGTCTCTAAGTCATTATATTCTTTTATTCTATCAATAACATTATGCTAAACGTTATGCTTATTTAATTTCCTTTTGTTTTGCTCCCTAATGAAGGTATGAAGAATTTAACTATTTAAAAAAAACCATCGTTCAATGACTTTTCTATTAAACTATATTGCCTTAATGACTATATTTATCTTACATATTATTCATTGGGATAGGTTTCGCGGCCGCCTTGAAACCGATTTGCATACGCCCATCACCCTTGATTGGAAACGATTGGATTTTTATGAAAATGACAACCTGTACAGTTTTATGTCGAGTGCCTATTATACGAGGTTCCATCGGCTAGCGGATACGTAGGCAATTGTATATGACTCGGGGATATAGAGCAATGTCACTGACAAGGTTTTGCTCTATTTTTTAACTCAACTAAACTCGTTTTAACCGTATACTGACCTATTTTACAACGAAAAAATATTTGCTAGTGTGCCTACTTTAAAAAAAATATTATTCTACACTGAACGATAGGTGTTTCTAATCTATTATAATAAGCAGATATGCAGGAATTATGTAGTTACATATTATAATTATTCCATTTGGTTATTTCTTAATTGGCTTTATTTATAAAAATTCTTGTACTAACTAAATTTCGTAAAATAATGCAAATTATGGCAAATTTAGTGGTGTTACTAAAAATAGAAAAAATTAATAACATAAGCAGGTAGTTCCTAATTTTCTTTGTCCGGAATGGTTTCGTGTAGAAATAGCAGTTTTGCTAATTAAACGTTGAAGATGCCGAAATAGTTGATTCAACGTGCGTTCGAAGTTCGTTGAACCACCAAATTTAATTTAACGTGAGTCACAGCGTGTGCATATCTAAAAATTGTGCATAATTATGCAATGTTGAATTTGAATTTAATTGCCACGAAGAACAAAGGACAACTTCACAGATTATCGTTT